CTGTACAATAAGTGTCATTTCATTTAACACCTCCCATGAAGATTGAATTAATGACCTTGAAGGTCTTTTAGTTTGCTATTCTATATAAACCTGTTGTTAGGTCGTTTTGAGTTGGCGGCGTTCGCACTGTTTTGCATAATTGTCTCTTTGCGATTACTAACAGCGATTAAAATGGTGTATCTGTCTATAATATTTATTCTCTATGTATAAGTTGTTTATTTAGCTGTTTGTGCATATAAATGAAGGAAATATGAGCTGTCATACTTAATTGCGGACTGCATATATGCAGTGTATTAAAAACACATTTATAAAGGAGTTACTCCGAAGTATTATTTTTCTGACTAACACATCCTTCAAAGTAAAAAAAATGCAAGTGTTTTAATTTGAGTCAATGGAATTCTAGATCTTTTCATTTCAGACTATAATTAATTATATTCGGAAACGAAATATTGTCATATCATGTTAACATGAAATTTCATGTTTCATCGATAGAGGGTAGGGAACGGATCCGTGCACACCCCTTCCTTGCAGCCACCGGATATATGGGCTCTTCCGGGTCAGACTACTCCCCCGCCAAGGCAGAGGCACTCCCGTGAACGATATAGATCACAGTTCAAATAAGGCATCGTATGTTTTCTTGAACCCGGTAACTGTGTCGGCAGTAAAATTATCGGGGGGAGATCATTACATGCATTCACAGCGCCTCGAGAGTCGATAGATGTGCAGAAGGCTATCTGTCCATTGCACCACTAGCTTGAAGCAGCGTCCGGGCGTATGCATATCGACGGCCAGTTGGAAACGCTGGCGAGCTCCGGGTTGTGACCGCAAACGATCGCTTTATACATGATGATTTGGTCGCCTCTGGAAGGTCAAAATTCGAGGGTAAACAAGTGCAGTGCTCCGCAACGTTCCGGATATTTCAGACCCCTCAATTAAGGTGCCATTCTTGACCCCAGTCGTTGTACATATTCGATGTCTACCATCTCGCTCTTCGTACACGGGAACCAAGCTGACGATCCATATTCCATGATTGGGCGGATGAACGTGACCATGATCTTACGGAAAATCTGTCTGGACCAAGACGCGAAAGCTCTTTGAGCATTCATAGTAGAGTCAGACCCCTTCGTCTTGCTAAAGTTGATTGTTCTCGTGTTTTCAGGTCGTCTTGTATGATAACGCCCAAGTCACGATTACTCCTTACAGCTGCCAATGTTGTGTTTCCTATTGTATATGGTGGGTGGTCCCAAATTCTCCCAAGTATCACCAGGTGTGATGTATTTACGTTTACCGGTACCTTGATCTCCAGCGGCTATTCTTGTATCAGATAAAGATAATTTTGAAAGGTTGTTGTGTCTTCGGGGTTGTGTATAACTCGTCCTCAAACAGAAGGCATGGAGACGGAAACTTTGATGGGATGTCCACAACATATATACGGAACGGTTTGGGGCCCATCACTGACTCACTGCGAGCCTCAAACACATAGGAACGCCCTTCGCCAACACCGACCCGGCATTGTCTACCGAATGGGTAACCCCTGATCCATTTGACTACAGCTCTTGGGATGGCCGTATTAGTGAGTTTGGTTAGGAGAAGAGATATACGAGAAGGCCGAAGAAAACAATATATTGCTATCTTCGAACTTATTTACCCCCGTTTGTAGCCGAATAGTGAGCTTACACAATCTTGAAATCATAAGCTTGCCCGGTCGCTCTACATTATTTTCCCATGACTAATTGTCGTGGAGTTGAGATCCTAGCGGATATTTCTGCGGCTTCTACCATCATTAATCATTCACATCCAACCTGTGACAACTTGCGATAATAATAAGTGAATTTAAAATGCCAGCCATCAGAAAGAGTTTGAAATGTTGCCGAGTCTGCAAACAATTCCTTTATGGCGTATTTGAATGTTGAAATGGGCATGTTTAGAAGAATTTTTAATATAGGTTATTTGCTAAGGAAATTTGCAAGTCTGGGTTGCATGAATATTAACAGTTATACACCAGCCATCACCGAAATTCTTTTTGTAGAAAAATGCCAAAAGGTCGACAGGTCAAAGCAGAACGCACGAAGCAGTCCCGCTGTTTAGTCCTGGCGGTTGAATCTGGTGACGCAATAGACAATGAATACTTAAAGCAAGTTAGATTTCTTATTTTATTATTTGTAATCTTTGCCTCAGGTGCCTATTTTCTTGCAGTAGGAGAGCTTTTAACTCGGTTTCGGCCGTTGTCGACGAAATTATCGACGAGGTAGCAGAGGAAGCCTATCACAGACACCTTGAAAGACAGCAACTTCCATTTACTGTTAATCTTATGGCACAAGCCATTCTGGAAATTGTCGAGGTTGGTATACTTTGATTATTCAAGGAGTACTTTCCTTCAGTGCAACTTTCCTCCTGTTCAGCCGTTAGAAAGTGAAGATGAAGAGGATGAAGGTAAGATGTTCACTGGCGCCTTTCTGAGTCCTCTTAACTAATTGATCGTTGAAGAATACCTAAACGCATTGTTTGATTCATGTTTTTCATAGTAAATCTGCTTCATTCTTGACGTGAGGTGTGTACGCAATGCAGTATAAGGGATTGTTCACTTATAAAAGAGGTAGGATTTGGTTATTTGAACAATTTACGTCATTAACTTTACACACTTTACAAGTTTAGTTTCAGTTGACACCTGCTGAACAACAACAGCAACAACTATCTGGCTTTTTCACTTATCATGAAAATAACTTTATCCCCATGGAAAGCTTACCGGTGAACACGATAAACTCCGGAAGAACTTGTTCTCTCTCCGACTTCTTCATAAAGATTGAATGTTGGTCCCCATAAATAACCGGTTTTAATCATCAACTGTCAATGAGATTTGTATTTGAGCTTCTATTCCTTCTATTGAGGATACTAAGTCGACACTATGTTTCTGTTTCTTGATCTTTTCCCATTGGCAACGCCTACTTAATTAATATTTCCCTCGAATGTTGGCTTAAAATTTGTATTTGTTTGCCTCAGGTAACTGTGGTTGTGTTTGTTCCTTTTCTAAGAATTGGAACCGATCCCTATCCACCCTTGGGCTCAAGGAGTGATCCCCAAGAAATTGGCTCCGGCTGTGATCTTAGGCTCCGCGAACGATGTAAAAGAAAATGATACCCTAATGGAGTATGTACTTTGGTGACAGTTCATGCTTCATTGTAGTAGCTTTTAACATTGCTCTCGTTAATTATTTAGCTCTAAGCCGGGCTACAATTAATCAACCAACACCCAGCCCAACAAAACAAAAAATGAAAAAACTTCGAAATCTTAAGTCCAAACAGCTGACTTTCGCATACCTTAGTCAGCGTCATCATTTTTTGGCAGACATTGGTTCCTGAATAAGTTAAGCCATGCATTACTTCTCACGTTTTGTGTGTTTTAGAATTAAGACGTCATCGAAGTCCGTTGTCACAATGGAGAAGACGACTAAGAAGAAAACCAGAGCAAAAATGGACTCAGCAGAGTCTTCCGGTATGCGAAACGTTTCACTTCTAAAAGAAAGTGCATTTGTTATCAATAATGTTTTATTTAGTACTACTAGCTGCAAAGTTTTTTCCTTGTCTCCTTGGCAAGAATGAATGAACAAATGCCTAGTCTTTCTGCATAAGGCGTACAACGGAATTCGTTTTCCTGTCAATGTACCAGACAAGTGGTTTGTGACTTGGACACAGGGTTTTCCTTTTTCTTGCAACAACAACTTCCTAGTCGCTGGAATCCGAGCCTAGTTAGCCTCCACGGGTGAATTTTCTAATGTTGTTTAATGGGTTCGCCCCTTTGAATCTCTTGTTGTACCAGCGAAATTGAAGCAGACATGATTTGGACGCCTTTAATCTCATCTTCTGTGTAGAAATCCATAAGAAACCCATTCAGGAGAAGGAGTTTATACCCGGATGGAGCAAACGACCACCCGGATTTCGGTACGTTCCCCACGCTGGTGCTGTCCTTAACAATGTGAACATGGAAAATAGCGAATCTTCTCGAAGACTGGCAAGAAGTCGATCCAAGGAGCAAATACCCTTACGCGCTCTGGTAGTGTGACATTTACATTTTCTTTAACTTTCAAGTTATTTCTGTCTGCGATTACCTCTAACATACACGTACGAAATATATTGAATATTTATACCTATAAGTGGACGTCCTTTTCCGTAAAAGGGTATGAACGTGTAGTTGTAATTTTTTCATGCCCAAACAACTCAGTTTAAAATGAACACCCAGGATGCTTCTCTTGGTCACAAATACGCGACAATGGGTGACTATAATCGAAACAAGCTTGGCCAGTTGATTTACGGTCAGACAGTTTAGGCATTTCGAGCTAAAAAGTGAACCTAAGAGTCTTGCCTTTTCAATAGTTTATGGCCCGCACAATCTCCCATCTTGTTCTTTTACATTTATCTATCGCTTTGAGGGTATTTAAACCTGAACGCTTAAATTTTCAAGTTGGTGTGCAACTTGAGCTCGCTGTGTGTTAATTAAGCAATCGCCACATGGGCTTACCTACCGCCTTCACAGTTGTCCTTGCCCACAAGGCATGAACTCGTCCTCTCAGATAAAACAGGTGAAAAATAATGGATACAGGTCCTTCTGGTTCATCTACAGCCGATCTTAATAATAGTCCAGACTTAGGGAACACGAGAAATTCTGCTTTCCATTGCTGCAAAGTCAAAATAAATTCAAAATGATGCCTTTTATTTTCTCTCTGGTGTTCAGCGCTATCGTAATTAACTGTTTCTGACTTCTAGTTTTCAGCCTTTGCTCACGCAGTGAACGTCTATTTTTCAGAAGTATTTTGAAATAGGACTTTTAGTACTTAAGGAATGCCCATAAATCTGATTCTTACACGACGGTAGTTTCCCTATTTCGTGAAATATTAACGTAAATTGTGGTATATTTTTTGGTTTCGAACAAAGTACCATAATAAGGGTGTAATAATCATTATCGCATAGTCTCGTCTAAAGGTATTTTCGTTATGAGAGAACTCCGGCTTTTTGACGAGCTTCTTCCCGACCACCAGAAAAGACATCTTCTGAAAAAACTACTTAAGCAGTATGCATTTCCTACAGGATTTTAAATAAACCTAAATATTCTGCACGGAAATGGCATTTTGCATACTTAGTAAGGAGTAAATTACGTCTTCGTTAAATCTTATACTTGAAGAAAATGTCCCTTTCCGTGTTACATTTTTTTTTCTAATTTGGAGGCTTTTTCAATCGTGGAATTTTGATTAATGACACTCCGTGACTTTAAATGTATTATTATATTAGTAATGCATGCCACATGGTACTCATCCATTACAAAATTGTATGAACGCTGTATCACTTTTCTTCACAAGCTCGATAAGTCTGGGATTTTTGTTGGACAGAATGTATAAAGCGTGTAGTTTGGAAACCTTGTAAAGGCCGGTAGGGCACCAAATTAATTGGCAGTTTAGAAAGTTCTTTTAAAATCGAAGGATACCCTTCTTGAAGTATAAAAGTTAAATAAGGCCCCATCTTCTAATTAACCTGTTCAAAATAGGGCCTCGAAAATAAATGAGAAGAATACATACTACTTGCGTAGGGCGTGTGCTTCTCCAGGCGGTTGGAAAGAACCAAGTTCAAAGGCCGACCTCTTGACGTGACTGAAATATCTTCACATTACACTGAACAGTAATCCATATTAGCACAGCACTTTTAACAGTAGTATCCTACTCCTAGTAGTTAAACTGGAGGAGACAACCAGGGCAAGCGCTGATGTGTTCCGAGCCTCAAACAGCTACACTACGCGGATTAGCAGAATTGGAGGTTCCCACTCTCAGTGAAGATCGAGGGAACACGGGTCCAGATCTGAGTCCAATCAGTGTCATTTCTGACCAAATGTTAGCGTCGGTAATAGTTCCAGCACCACAATCACTCAGATATACCGCTAGAAGCAGCAATAAAAACAGTAGCTGCAGTAGTATAAATACGAGACCCAGATCCACGCCCCCTGCTGGGATCGAGGGCATATGAGTCGACGTTCCCTGAAGTGGAAGCTAGAGCTAGATACTGTAATAAGCCTACATGTATTCTACAAACGGCAAATGTTACGACATAAAGACATGACAGGACTTCTGCTACTATCTAAAAATAC